TCCATCGTCCTCTTTTTCTTCCTGTTTCCCCTCTGAAGCATCACATTTTTGCCCACACGCATCACATCCATTTAAGCGTGCCTAAAGTAAATGGGGAGTGATTACAGTTTTTTTTCTATTTTATAGCAAATAAAAATCATACCTGTATAATTCAGAACAACACAGCTGTCTAAAAAGCTGTTCACGGTAGAGAAAGGAAGAGGGTTCTTACTAAGCCATGTCAGCAAGGTGCATTTCCATCAAGACGAAACAGGCAGTGAGAGACACGGTATTGTTGGGACCCAGCTCTCATTAAGATATGAAATCTAATCCTTATGGCCACTGACTTCAATGGGCGGAAGATAAAGGCTTCAGAAATGTGATCACTGTGTCTAATGTAAATGCTTATAATGGTGTGCTGTGGGACATGCTGTGAGTGCAAATCCATTAAAGGATAAAATTTGATTTGCATGTATATCTCTTTTCCCTTCCCCCCTCCCGAGCAAGGTTTGAGAACTGAATTGACAAAATCAGTGTCCTATTTGCAGTGGCAAAACATCTAAATCTCCACAAGCAAAATGTATGCTTGCGCTGAGCTTGGTAAGCAGATGCTACTTTAAAAAAAAGAAAGGGGGAAGAAGTAGTGACAGCCCAATTCTCTTCCTTCCCACTCCACTTCTCTGCTCCCTTGTCAGTGTTTACGTCAGTGATTTCTATACAGCATGTTTTGGTGGTGTTGAGTGGAACAAAAAGCACTAAAATACAGCTTCAAAAGTAACTCTGTGAGAAAGAAAAAGGTTTTTGAATCTGTTGTTAAAAATACTCTAGTGTAGCACCGGTAGCCTACTGGGGGATGTTCCAGGCCTCCTCCCGAAAGGAGCCTTGTGCCTAACGTCCTCCTGGGTGCCATCAGGTGGGGCTGCACGATACCCGTCTCAAGAGATGTGGACCCCATCTGCTCAAAACAGCAGGAAAGACCTCTCCCTGGAAATTGTCTTAAGTGCAGATTAGCAGACTGCAGTAAACATCAAACCCAGAATGTCAGGCCCAGTGAGAAATAATAGAAATAATTAAAAATAATAACCCAGTTGCACAGAAACAAAGGGAAAAGCCAAGGGGAAAGACCCATTTAGATGGGCTTTTGGATGTGCTGCCTCTGAAAGCATTTTGGAAAAAGGGGCCCAGGTTTCTGTAATCAGTGATACCTGGAATCCCAAGTTCAAAATGGATTTGTTGCTTAAAGTACACCTGTATCTTAAACTTGAGACTTGTGGTATCCAGGTGGCTTGTGCCTGAGCCATGATCTATGCTCAAACTTTAGACTAATGTCTTGTAAGTAAGTGGCATCAAGCAGAGGAATGACTTGGGCTCCTTGCTGTTGAATGCAGAAAGGCTGTTTGGGCTTGTAGGTAGACTTGTTACTGACTCTCTTCCTCTGGCAGTGTGGACTCACAGAACATGGGTTAGGAAGATGCCATGTTTAACTCACCCCTATGGACAGAGCAGACAGTCTGCATCCAGCAGGCAGTGCAACACCTGCCTTTACAGTTATTTCTTCCATAGATTTGATCTTTTCTTTTTGGAAAGCTAGAAAAGATTCTTCAAGTGGAATTTCTGTCAGAAAATATTTAGTTTGTTTTTTTTTTCCTCATGTGTAAACCCCCCCCCCAAAATGTCCATGCAAAAATGACACCACAGCTGCTATGAAAGGAAATGGAGGGAGAGAGAGAACAATGCCAATATACCAAAACAAAGAAAACAATCTAGTGAATTATAATTATTTTGCTAAATATACTGAGCAAACAAAAGGAAATAATTACTCTCCAGCTTATGAAAGTATTGAAAGCCCAGAACATTATAATTGTGTATCAGCAGCACTAGCTTCAATTTCCGAAGTAAAAAAAATGGTGTTCTGACCTAGATTGGATAGGAATGACAGGAATATTCGCTGCATCCTATCCCCCCCAATGTCTTCTGTATGAATAACTGCTGCCTCTACCTGAACAACAAGGGGTGGAGTTTGGGGTCTGTTCCTCGAATCAGTGTCGTCTGTTTGCTGCTTAGCTTTGTAGCTGTGCTACTGTCTACAAGTGGAAGCCTGAAGACAGGGAGGATGCTCTGCCTGAGCTCAGGAGGTATACTGCAACAAATTCAAGGGTACTCACCTGCCAAGGATATACACTGAATTCCAGAAACCAGAGGAGCTCAGGAAAATAACATCACTGCTCAAATATCCTTCTGTGCCTGCTGAGTATTTATATGCTTGTCAGCGGGATGCGACTAGACAGGATTGCTGTCTCTGGCTGCCCCTGACTGGCTGCCCCTGACTGGCATGGGAGAGGTCAGGAGCACAACTCCGGGCACTCTCCTCTTCCCTCTCCCTCCAAAGTAACCTTCTCTTTGGCATCTTGGAACCAAACAGTTCTGCATCTGCCCAGTGAAACGTCAGCTGGGAACAGTCGGCTTAAGCCCTTACCTCAGGCAGGAGTGAACTCCCTGGCAAAAAGAGAGACATAACTCCAACCTCTTGCTCCAAGGGCATGGTGCTGAAGTTTGGCCAGTTACTAGGGGGCTTGTTTGTGTTCCGCTCTTGGTGGTACCATAGGGTACAGCTAAGCAGTTTCAACATAGTTCTTCCAAACCAGCTCACAGCGTTAGACTACAGCTTCTCTGAAAACATAGAGAGGCAAAACCAGGCTGATCAACTCATAGCTCTTTTGTGTCCTCATGATTAAATGTTGATTTGGTATTGGGCATTTCCGAATTATAAGATCTTGCTCAAGTCACACCTCTATATCTCGGTTTTCCTGTTTTCAAAATTATTCTTTGTGAGTAAAGGTCCTGGTCCCAAACCAGGACTCTTCTGTCTTAGGGCTTCTGTGAGAGTAATGCAAAGACTTAAGTATTCACAGGACGTCAGCCAAGTATAAGACATGGAGCAAGAGAAAGACAGAGAGAGGAGCAATAAGAATATTGAATAGCAAGGTAAATTTCTGATGTCCTGTAGCTCTTCTTGGCCAGTTGATCGTCTGGTGAAGCCAGATTTTAGGGAGAGTTTGACAACAGAAAATGATGAACATTTATGGCTATTTTTAAATTACCTAATGGTAATGGAGTGCTGTAAGAACTGATTTTTTTTTTCTTTAAAGAGAGTCGATTGAAGACTGAACAAATGGGCAGAGGAGTGTGAAATCATGGCTCCATCGGAGGTGGGAGTTAACCTTTGAATGATGGCAAAGAGGATCAGTAAAATGTGGATAAGCCAAACAGGACTTTGAAAGTGAAGAGAAAGAATCTGTCTGATATATTGGAGAAGAGCTATCAGAGAGAAATAGAGAAAAGTGATACAGCTTCTCTGAAAACATAGAGAGGCAAAACCAGGCTGATCAACTCATAGCTCTTTTGTGTCCTCATGATTAAATGTTGATTTGGTATTGGGCATTTCCGAATTATAAGATCTTGCTCAAGTCACACCTCTATATCTCGGTTTTCCTGTTTTCAAAATTATTCTTTGTGAGTAAAGGTCCTGGTCCCAAACCAGGACTCTTCTGTCTTAGGGCTTCTGTGAGAGTAATGCAAAGACTTAAGTATTCACAGGACGTCAGCCAAGTATAAGACATGGAGCAAGAGAAAGACAGAGAGAGGAGCAATAAGAATATTGAATAGCAAGGTAAATTTCTGATGTCCTGTAGCTCTTCTTGGCCAGTTGATCGTCTGGTGAAGCCAGATTTTAGGGAGAGTTTGACAACAGAAAATGATGAACATTTATGGCTATTTTTAAATTACCTAATGGTAATGGAGTGCTGTAAGAACTGATTTTTTTTTTCTTTAAAGAGAGTCGATTGAAGACTGAACAAATGGGCAGAGGAGTGTGAAATCATGGCTCCATCGGAGGTGGGAGTTAACCTTTGAATGATGGCAAAGAGGATCAGTAAAATGTGGATAAGCCAAACAGGACTTTGAAAGTGAAGAGAAAGAATCTGTCTGATATATTGGAGAAGAGCTATCAGAGAGAAATAGAGAAAAGTGATGTGGCCAGTGTGATGGACTAGAATGGCTTTCTAGCAGCAATCTGTAGGGCAGGATTGCTATATGTTGAGGCCAAAAGGAGAACTGTTGCAGGATGTCCGTGGGCTTGGATGAGAACTTGACTGGGTGGGTGGGTTATTACTCTAAAATGAGTAACATTTTAGAGCTGTTACTCAGAAAGCATGGAAAATGCAGGCACTGCCTGGCCCAGAAGACCTTGCAAGGAGTTGGAGGTAAAGGCTGACATTCAGATTCACTGGCCAGTGAGATCTGCAGCAGGAGCAGAGGGATGTCTGCAGTAACCAAAAAAGGAGATAGTAAGGGGTTATCCTAAGGGGAAGGAGATGCTCTCAAATGCAGCATAATAAAATCAGAACTGACAGCTAGGTATGCAAGCAGAGATGTCAGATACTAGCAGAGAATTTAGTTTAGACATGAGGAGCTTTGGAGCAAAGAATCAGAAGCACAAGCTACTATTGTAGAAGCAATGGCTGAATCTGTGCATAGAGGTGCGGTTACCCAGGGGACTCTTTGCAACTGGATGTTACCCACCAAAAGCCAGAGACAAGGCAAGCTGAGGCAGTTTCTCCAGGAGACGGGCTGAAGAGACAGCCTGTGTTGGGGATGGCCATGGAGCTAAGAGAAGATGAGCTATCACAAGGACATGTTGGTTCATTATCTAAGGCAGTGGAGTCCAGGCAGTCCAAGTACAAAAGAGTTAGTGGCTCTGGGCTTTGCCTAGAAGCCTGTTTCGGCTCTGATGAGAGCAGGATGGGTGGAACTGTGGAGTGGAAAGAGCTTTAGAGATGATCTAAAATGGAGAAGAAAGAAAGGCACTCCTGAGAGTGGCTAGCTGTTTTGTTCAGTGAATGAAAGATGCTGTGAGATGGAGCAATTGCTGGAGAGGCAAAACTCCAAGATGGGACTCCCAACACTTGGAGTGCATGTACATATTGAGGGGAAAACAAAGAGTGAAAGCTTGGCAAGAAGATGTAGCAGGGGTGAGGATGGCTATAAAGAGGAAAAAAACAACTCAGTGGGATAGCTGTGGGGGATTGAAGCAACTAGATGAGGAGCTGCTTAGACCTAAACAAAACTGGGGATTTGAGAGAAGAAAACACAGACGATTTCTATGAAGAAATCCACAAGATATCTTGCATCAAAGGAAGTCAGAATAGGAAGAGGGGAGGGCTTGGGAAGTGAGTCAAAGATGGTGAAGAGGCGGCCAGGAGTACATGTAGGAGTCAATTAAACCTGTATTTTTATCTAGGAAGATGAGAAGCAGGAAAGAATGTGCCTGGGGGCAGTAAGCTCACTGCTGGAAAAGCAGGTATTGCAGCGACA